TAATAAGATAAATGTAAAAACTGTGCCAAATAAACACTGGCAAGCCCGCGACTAATTTATCAAAAAAAAACACAACTTTCAGTATGTCGATCGTTTGGGTATTCTTCGAGAGAACCTCTAATTACTTTTTTTCAACTTTTCAATACAATAATTAATGAATATTCACTTTTTTCAACTTTTTAATACAATAATTGATAAATATTTGCAATGATTTGCACTATTTCAACATATCTTCGAACATATTTTGACACTGCAGATTATGTCGGTTGGTATCCATGTACTATGACATATGTAAAAATACTTGATTGTAGACTAAGGATTTTTATGTCAAACAAAGATAATGCGAAATAAATAAAATTTAATTGAATAAATTATTATATTGTAATCATTTTCATAAAAAATTAGGTTTTAAATGTTGGCCACGCCTTCGCCGATAGGCCACGCCCACGAAACTGTCAAATACCTGGGCCTGCCAGTTGTGAGTCTGCCAATTATATACTAAGCAAACTAGTGCACTCGAATATATGTTTGCATATTACAATTGAATGTTTCAGCGACGTACAATTTATCATTCTTTAAAACACTGAGATAATATTGTTTTCGAAATTAATGTGGATGTTTCGAAGAGCCATTTCTATTTTGTTATCATGCCAGCCTTCGTATAAGGCGCTCCGACGGAACTGATGTTACCGGTATACATATTTTTTTTCGGTTTCTCTAGTGAAACGCATTCTTTTCAACATTTAAAATATTGCTTTGTCCAGCGGCCTGCAGCATTTGCGTCCTAAAAGCATGCTCTTTAATTTATTGATATTGATACCTTTCTATAAACATAGTTCAAAAATGACTCTCACATAGTATTGCACGAATTATTAATTTGGTGTTGAAAGCGATTGTATGCTTTTGAGTATTTTGAACTTTTGGATTAAATGCCCTTTTCCAGCTTCTTGATACATGCCATGAACAAAGTAAATGGTTGTTTGTCGAAGTCATGACAGATGACCATGCATTGTAATACGCAGGTGCATCATCAGACATAAAAGTTAAGATGGCAATTTTTTTTTTTACTTTACTACTATTGAACTACAAATTTTCTCAAAAAATAATTTAAATACAGTCTTGTCTTGCCGATTGGTGAAACAAAATGCTACGGGATAACCTACCCCAAACTCACCAATCACAAGAAGAGTATGCAGGTTAAATCAATAAGAATTTGCTTCATGAGATCTATCTATGCATGTTTTATCATGTCTATATTCATTTAAAATAGTAGCCTGCACTATAGTCATTATGACCATAAAAAGATCATCTTCTTCTAGTACATCATGTTCTACGTTTTATTATTATTATCTATATGGGTAGGGTATGGTAGCACTGCTTTGCATTTTATATTTCGAACATCTTTCTTGGTGATTATTGAGCCCTCAATGGAAAAATTTCTTCATATGCTGCATTTTGAATACTGATGATAATTTTATTATCCGAAACTCCTGCTATAACTTAATAATAGTGGCGTATTTTCGAAATTTATTCTATAAATTGGGAACAATTTCCCTCATATCTTTCCATGATTCTATGGTGTTGCTTTCTATAGGCGTGACTGGTTCATTTAGATATAAATCTATTTCATCACGTCTTTTATTTCCTTTTTTTCTCTGACGCTATTTTTTATGTAACTGCCAAAAGTCGAAACTATCTGGCGTGGCATCAATATCTAAACTTGTAGTAGAACTGTTCAAACAAATTTGATTTCTCAATGCATTTATTGAATTTGAAGTAGCATTGGTGTTTTCTTTGCGATGTAGTGAAAAGAATCTATTGAAAAATTGATAAGAATAAATAATAATTAAGACACAATCACTATGAATCACTTACTTTCTATTCGTGTCAATCTTTCCATCAAAGCCTCTACATGCAAAGCCTCTGTCTGAGTGCCTTGATCAACAGTGTGTTGTTCTATAGTTATGGCCTGCTTCTTCCTTGCCATCTGCCGGTAATCTAAGATTGAATTAAATTTTGTGTCGGCTGCAAGAACATTAGTCAAATATATTCATTTTAATATGATACAAAGAATTTTATGAAAGTAACTATTTACAATAATCTTCCTTTTCCTGAATCTCATCTTCAAACACCCTTTTGGTCCTCTTAAGGTGACCCCTTCCTCGCGGCTCATCACTTTGAGAAGCTTCACTATGCCGTTGCCGCTCTTCTGGCTTTTTCATATGAAGCTAAGAATTCAAAGCAAATGAATATCACATTGGTATAATAAAAATGCTTCCTTTAAATTACTCAGTTTATTTTAAATGTTAATTGGTTCACGGTTCAGGAAGAAGATAGTTATTTTACATAGCTTTAACATAAACATAAATATAACATGGCGGATACATAGTTTGAGTAGGGGAAGAGTATTGCCAACGTCACTGATAGTAATGGCGGGACATTTGAATTACAAATATATATAACATTACATTTGACATTACATAAGAAAAAATGTGACAAACAATTTTGTCAATGCTCCGGGGCGATGCTTGCATCCAGATTATAATAATTAACATAACAAAATATTTGAGTGGACCGTATAATATATAGATAGATAATATAACAATTACTGAAAACTGAAATGAAAACATTTCTTACCAGTTATGTTAATCTAAAATGAAAATGACAATATTAATCATATAACAAACATTGCCTAATAAAACAAACCATAGTGCAACTGCAAAACTTAATACTAAATATATATACAAAGGAGATAATAGAAAATTATTAAGTAACAAAAAAATGCAATTAATTACAAGGTAAAGGTACAATCTTTGTTATTGGACGTGTAATCCAGTAGGAGTTTTTACAATAACGACTCGTACCTTTTCATCACGTCCTGGTTTAGTTTCCAAAATTCGACCAGTAGGCCAATTCAAAGGCGGACTATTATCTTCCTTAATTAGTACTATGGAGTCAATTAAAATATTGGATCGAGCCTGAGACCATTTTGCCTCTTCTGCAAATTACTTAAATATTGTTTGGACCAAGATGTACAAAATTGGTTCCTCATCGCTGCCATTTGCTTGAACAACTTTAAGATGGATCTGGAAGTGCTGTGATTGCTTCACCTATTAAGAAATGACCTGGACTTATATATATGAAACATCTCAGTTATCATCCGTGAATGATAACAATGGTCTGGAGTTCTGAATTGCCTCGATCTGTGCCAATACAGTGAGGTATTCTTCGTACGTGAAGTAATGCGATCCTAACACCCTACGAATATGGTGTTTCATTTGTTTAATGGAACCCTCCCATAACCTTCCGGAGTGAGGTGCATAAGACGGAGTAAATTTCCATATTATTCCTAACTGAGATGCAGCTGTTACCAAACCTTGTCTAGTCATATCCAATTTAAAATACCTATATAACTCCTTCAACTCGTTGTTGGCTCCTACGAAATTCTTCCCATTGTCACTATGTATGATAGAACAACAACCCCTACGAAAAATGAACCGTCTCAACGCAGCTAAAAAGGCATCAGTTGAGAGGCTAGAAACTAATTCTATATGGATTGCCTTGGTCACCTTACATACAAATAACGAAATATAGGCCTTAACTCGAGGAGCCTTCCTTAAACGACTTGATCTCAACAATATTGGATCAGCAAAATCTACCCCAACTACCTTAAATGGGCGATGTTGAGTGATCCAATCTGTTGGGAGACTACCCATCAGTTGACTAGCAGCAGCCTTAAAACGAGCACACTTACAACAATTATGAATAATTTGCTTTAAGGCGTTACGACCATTAATTGGCCAATAATTCGCCTGTTAGTGTGAGCTGCCCTTCTAATTCTTCTAATTTTGACGCGGTTTAACTCGACCAGTACTCGGTCACATTACCGGAGTTTTAGATTTTGATAATACTCCTCCAGGGTGTTTTGCGTATAATCTGGAAAACGCAAATTCTCTTCGGCATTACTAATCAGCATTGCCCGATTTCCTTTCTGTTGGTAATCTATTCTATCTATGCAAACGAACTTTAGTAATTTCAATTGCAACCAAGCATGCATTCGATTAAATTCTGAAACATCATCATCTAAATTATGATCTACCGGCATTATATCATCCGGGTTCATCAGGACTGGATAGTAAGGAACGTTTCTCCATCTACAGCCTGGAATTGGGTTTGACGCATAAAAGTTGCGTCTGATGTTTTGGATTGTTGCTCCATTGGTCAGACTAACAACCACCTCTCTTAAATTGTGGTATCTCACTTTTCCCGGCATTGGGATAATCTGATTCAACCTTACATTTCCCAGAACGGTTTGAGTCCCTGCATGCAACAGTCGCTCATGCTCTGACTTTAAAAACATACGAACAATTACGTGTTTTTTGTGTAAAATAATGGGGTGTTTCTGGTCAAAAGAGATGTTTGCATGTTCCAATCTCTCAATCCACCTACACGCAACACGCCGTCAGCATCCCTAAATGGGTTTAACGATTTCAACTTCAGATTTGAGACCTTATCTGTCTCTAAATCTTCATCACTAGTTATAGAGAATGTTTCTAACTGGACCAAATAAAATATCCTACGTGTTGCAAACTGAATCTCAAATGCTGACAACGGATCACAAAGAGTTCTGCGCTTTTTCCTCCTTCTGAGACAATATGCGACAATCCTAACAAGCTTGCTAAACTTGGATATCCTATCTGCCAAAGACTTTAGAGCAATACCGATATCATCATCATCCTCAGTATTCGAAACAGCACAAAGTACCCGTCTTTCCGGCAGATTATCTATTGGTGGATCACAAAACCTATTTGGCCAATTTTCTCTGGTGCTACAAAGCCAAGATGGCCCGTGCAACCACAGATCACAGCTCAACAAATCATTAGCAATTCTAACACCTCTTGACACAATGTCTGCAGAGTTATCCTTGCTAGATACATGCTTCCACATAACTGCTGGAGTTAATTCTAAAATTTGCGACACTCTATTGGAAACAAACATTTTCAACTGTGAGGGTTCTGTACGCAGCCACGCAATAACAATACTAGAATCAGAAATGATTCGTTAATCTTCACAACACCATTAGCCATAACATGCCTATATAATTTTGCCAATAACAACGCTGCTAACAATTCTAACCGAAGAAGTGTCACTTGTTTTAACGGAGCAACCTTAGATTTAGAACATATTAGATGGCAGGAAATACTACCATCTTCATTAGTCGCCCGTAAATAAATACAAGTTCCATAAGCTAGTAATGAAGCGTCCGCAAAATCGTGACACTCTATGCATACAGGAATCTGCTTGAAAAGACAACGCGGAACACACAAATCTTCCAAACACGAAAGATGATGTCTGAAATCGTTCCAGCTATCCTGTAATTCATCTGGCAGGGCGTCTTCCCAATCTAAATTGCATTTCCATAATTCCTGCATTATCAATTTCGCTGTTATGGTAATCGGAGAAATGAGTCGTCCAATAGGATCATATATTTTAGCTATGGTAGAAAGCACAGATCTTTTAGTGTCTGCAGAAGTGATAAAAATATTGGAATAAGAGATTTTGAAAATATCATCAACTTGATTCCTTGATAAATCTAATGTTTTTACAGTATTATTTTGTTCAGAAAAGTCTGTGGCTGACAAATTTTGTTGTTCCTTAGGAACATTACCTAACAACGAAAGACTATTACTTGACTACTTGTGTAACTGAAAACAACTTAGCTTCAACAGACTACAGACCTCCGATTTCAGCTGCCCTAGTTCCTGCTCTGACGATGCATCTGTAATTATGTCATCGACATAACAGTCCCTATCTAAAGTCTGCGAAGCTAGTGGATACTTGACAGAATTTTCTTCTGACAACATCTTTAAACAACGCATGGCCAAGTACGGTGCACATAAAGTGCCATATATAACTGTGTTCAACTTACAAATGTCAAGCCTTTTCTGAGGAGAATCTCTCCAAATAATTAATTGTGAATTAGCATCTGCATCCCTAACCTTAATTTGCCTATACATCTTAACAATGTCAGCGACAAAAACATACAAGTGACACCTGAAGCGAATCAAAATCGAAAACAAATCTTGTTGTAGTTTTGGACCTGTATGCATGACATTATTAAGCGACAAACCTGTGTAAGTTTTGCAAGAAGCATCAAAAACGACACGAATTTTATTAAAATTGCCATCCTTGAAAACCGAGTGATGATGTAAAAAATACTACATCAAAATCTTCTCCTGTAAGAGATGTAAGTTCGGCATGACCTAACTTTACATACTCATTAATAAAATTGGAGTAAGCTAAATTTAAGTCCTTATTTTTTACCAGCCTACGTTCCAAATTCAAAAAATGAGTTCTTGCCTGTGTGTAAGAATTTCTCAACTGATACTTCTTACCATCAATAAATGGTAAAGCAACTTCAAATTGGCCATTTCCTAAACGATGTACATTTGAAACAGTGTTCCTCACAAGCCTTATCTGAACCGGTAAGAGAATTGCTCAAAGAGATCTCCTTTATCTGCCAAAACTTAGCTAACTCCTCATGGAGATCTTCGTTAGAGATAAACCTGAATAAACACCAGACAACAACCAACCGAAGCGACTGTTCCTCAAAATTGTTAAGTTCTTCCCTAAGCGGATACAACACTGTTGCAGGATGTCAAAATATAGCTCGGCGCCCATCAACAAGTCTATTGGACCTGGAGTATTAAAATCTGGATCAGCTAATTGGACATGATACGGGATTCTCCAGTGAGAATAATCAATAGATGAAGAAGGAAGATGTTGAGTAATATTATCAATAATAACACAATACAATTTGCGTTCAAAAGAAGTTAGTTTAGATTTAATTTTAATCTTCACAGACTTATTACAAGTCATACTCTGCCTTTGTAAAACATTTAAATTATGAAGTGAAGAATTAATTGGAAGCTGGAGACGCGAAGCCAGCGATTTAGTAATTAAATTTATTTGTGAGCCATTATCTAAAAGTGCACGCACGGAATGTCTTTTGCCATTTGCATCAAAAATAATTAAGGAAACAGCAGAAAGCAGAGTTTGAGGATTCGAATGCGTCATAAGAATATTACTATTGTTGATAGGGGAAACCTTTTCCTCGTGCAACAAAGAATTATGTGATTTCTGGCATATAGAGCAAGGATACTTATATTTGCACTTCGAAATGCCATGTCGCGAAGCTATACAGCGAATACAAAATGAATGCTTAGAGACTAGTTCCTTTCGCTTCTTGACATCCAAAGCTTTGAAATCAGCACATTGGAAAATGGCATGCTCTCCCTTGCAACAGATGCAAGGTTGAGAAGCCTTCTTCACAATTATGTTGACTGTTTTAGCTGAGGGCTCTTTACAAACAGAACTAGAATTCTCTAAAGCTACTACCCCTCATTTCAATAAAATTAAAAAAACTATTCAAACTTGGTAGTTCTGCTGACTTTTGAGATAAATTCCATGCAACTCTAGTGTTGTTATCCAACTTTTTCGACAACATGAACAAAAGAACGACATCCCAATACTTGACTGGTTCAAATAATGCAGTCAAAGCCTGAACTTGCTGTCTTGCATTAATGCTCTCAAATTTTTAAAATAACCTTTACTAATAGGGAAAATTTTATCGATTGAGTTTAAGTGAGCATTAATGATTAAAAAACATATTATCATATGTTTTTAAAATGAGATTATAGGCTACTGTGTAATTTTCATTAGTTAATTTTAAAGAAGAAATAATGTTTGAAGCTGAACCTGTGAGAGTACCTTTTAAATAATGCAACTTCTGCACGTCAGACAATTTAGCATTTGTGTGAATCAATGAGTTGTACAGGTCAATAAACGCTGTCCATTCACTAAATTCACCACTAAATGTAGGCAACACTATGTCAGGCAACTTAACATCTACTGAACTATTAGAGACCCTAATCGAATTCTTAGGAATATCCCTACCATCAATCAAAGTCTGAATCTCAGCCATCAAAGTTAATATAATTCTGAATATTCTAAAAATACCTTAGTGTACTTTCCTGGCTTCAACCTATTTAGCTCAATGTAATTTGTTTCCCACTCATGTGATCGCTCAACCAACTTTTGCTTCTGTGCAATCAACAGATTTATGTTATCATCCTCACGGAATCCTGCCACAAACTTTCTAATGGAATCAAAAGATGTCTTGATAATTTCGTGAACATCTTTCAGAGTATCGATGTCAGCCATTTTAAAGTTGTTCAAACAAATCTACAAATAAAAAATAATGAGAAAACCACAATAACAATGAAATATTAACTAGCTCTATAATAACATAAGATAAATATTAATCTGATATACAGTGTAAAAGAGAAAAGAAAAGTATACATATAATAATACTATAAAAAATATATAAACAGCTACTGGAAAATTTAAAGGATCTATCTGTACATAACACAGATGAACTAAAATATAATATAAAACAATATTATGGCATTTAATATAAAAATAAATCTTCTAATCAGCTTTGAGAATAAATACTTCACAGAGAACCACGCTAGGTGATCTCAAATATATAACCAAAATCCCACGTGGTCTGCGAGTTAGAAAGTTCCTCCTTTGACCTTGGCGTACTTCTGGAAAACACCGTAGTAATCGAAGCTGGATATAATGCAGCATCGTACAAATTGTCCTCCTCGTACAAATCGTCTGCCTCGAACAAACCTACCGCTTGTAGATTTTGTCCTCCTTGCAACTTAGCTTCGACGTGTTGTAACGCCGGCTAACCTCAAATACCTCGAGCAGCTTTTACTTCGCCCAACGAATTGTAATAAATAACGAAAGTCTCGTTTATAGGTTAATGACAAAGCACACATAATCTAGCAAGGATAAGCGCTGGTATAAATATATGTTATTCGGTGAGATGGACCAAAATATGGTCAAATAAAAATGCTTCCTTAAAATTACTCAGTTTATTTTATTGTTACTTGTTTCGCAATTCAGCAAGAAGAGAGTTATTTTACAGTTTCGACATGAACATAAATATAAGATGGCGGGTACATGGTTTGAGTAGGGGAGGGCTATTGCCAACATTACTAATAGTAATGGCGGGACATTTGAATTACAAATATATATCATTTATAATTATAATCATATATATATATATATATATATATATATATCATTTATAATTACCTCTGAACAATTTCTTGAACTGCTATGTTATATTTTAAGCTAAGCCATGGACAGTGCATGGCGAGCTCATTTTTCATCAATCTCCTACACACATTTGCTATGTGTGCCTGTGCAGTTATGCCCCCAACTTTCATTACTAAAAGTTGTTAAAACAATAATGAAAAAAATAAGTGTGCGTATATAAATATAAATATTACATACTAAACATATATACAGATATATATGTATCTACTATATTTATACTAGAGGAGACTTACAAATTCTGTACAAAACTCGGCATCATCTTTTAGACGCGATTCTAAATCATTTAACTCGTTCTCAGTGGCAGCATTAAGTCTATATTCTTGTGCAGTGACACATCAATTGCTTGATTTTGACGTGTCGTCAAAACCTGGCCATCTTGGATGTAGCGCATAATTACCGCTATTTGGGCATTCATGGCATCAACACTCTCAATTATTTTAGCATTAAATAATTATTAAATTATGTAAAAATATATATACACACACATATATATATATATATATATATATATATATATATAAACATTTAACTAACCTTGCAATCTGGCTTGCTTTATTGCAAAATCTGCCATCATGGTCCGTAAATCATTATGCGTGGAGCTGGTACAAGTATTTGGGATTGGAGATCGCCTGGGTGATAAATTGTACTCCACCTCCGCAGCGTAGTTATATTGGGGTTCGGGAGCGTAGGTCTGTTGGGTCTCGGGAGCGTAGGTCTGTTGGGTCTCAGGAGCGTAGGTCTGTTGAGTCTCGGGAGCGTAGGTGTGTTGGGTCTTGGAAGCGTAGGTGTGTTGGGTCTTGGGAGCATTGTGTGTTGGGTCTTGAGAGCGTAGGTGTGTTGGGTCTCGGGAACGTAGGTGTGTTGGGTCTTGGAAGCGTAGGTGTGTTGGTTCTTGGAAGCGTAGGTGTGTTCGGTCTCGGGGCTGACCTCCGAAGTCAAAACTGTTTTGCAAAATAGAATTTAATACATCATGATTCGGAACATTTACACAAAATTACTGCATTTTACATTTACCTCTAACTTTTGTTCCTAAATTTGATTCTAGGTACTGTAAGTTAAAACCATCCATACAATCTGATTCATATAGAGCAATATCTACATAGTGATGATTATATCATTATTTTAACATAATCGAATGTAATTTATGATTTATAATTTTACTCCTTTCTTACCTTCATCATACGACGTATATGATGCCTCTGATGTCCACACAACTTCCTCTCCTTCCTTTTACCGCGGCCCAACTTCATTAAGTTGGGTTAATTAGAATCTTTCATCTCCTGCATGTCTCCTTGCAGAGATGTAAGATTCTAGAACGAATATTTAGATGAAGCAGCCCTTAGGACTTCAATGCCAACTTAAAACTCATTCCTCACCATAGAATACCTTAAAAACTACTGCTTCTTGGGTCCATGTTTTCCGATCTATGGACGCTTTTCTCTTAACCATCAATGTAATGTCTTTGTATCTAGGTGGCCACCAAACTTCCTTTATGGACCCATCATCGTTAATGATGAGCCACTCTTTAGGCACCTCGCAGGGGCTGCCAGCCATTAATACCACAGCATAATCCTTCATAATATTGAATGCAATACCAAAGTTTAATGACTACAAGAAAAAATCAAAATATTTGTTCAGGACGTCACCTCACAATGCATACAATAAGTGGTAAAGTCTGATTTCGGCCAAAATTTAACACGTGTTTGGGTACATGATTTTACACAAATAATCAAACTTTGCATTTGCATTAATGCATTAATGATTTTGCAGTGCAATAACTATTTTCAGAGAATTTTAGCCGAAATTAACTTAATTCAGTCCAAAC